TCCTTCCTTCCTTCCTCCCTCCCTCCCTCCTTCCTTCCTCCCTCCCTTCTTCCTTCCTTCCTTCCTTCCTTCCTTTCTCCTTCCTTCCTTCCTTCCTTCCTCCCTCCCTCCCTCCCTCCCTCCTTCCTTCCTTCCTCCTTCTTTCCTCCTTCCTTCCTTCCTTCCTCCCTCCCTCCCTCCTTCCTTCCTCCTTCCTTCCTTCCTTCCTCCCTCCCTCCTTCTTCCTTCTTCCTTCCTCCTTCCTTCCTCCTTCCTTCCTTCCTCCCTCCCTCCCTTCCTCCTTCCTTCCTTAGCAATAGCACTTATATACCGCTTCACAGCCCTTTCCAGCCCTCTCTAAGCGCTTTACAGAGTCAGCCTCTTGCCCCCAACCACCTGGGTCCTCATTTTACCCACCTCAGAAGGACAGGAGGCTGAGTCAACCTGGAGCCGGTCAGGATCGAACGGCTGGCAGAGGGCAGAGTCAGCCTGCAATGCTGCCCTCTAACCACTGGGCCATCAGGGCACCAAGGCAGCTGGGTCAGTCCAGGCCCAGTGACGTGGCTTCGGCCAGAGCCTTGGCTGGTGGGCGCTGGTCTCCCCCCTGCCGCTCGTGGGCACCCACCCTGGCAAGCTGGGTGGGACGAGACCCCTTGAGGGCCGTCCAGCCCACGCGCCATCTGTGCCGCGGCTGCAAATTCTCCCCCAGCCCTTCTGGAGCCCCTGGACACGAACGGGGCTTAAGGGCTGCTGGGGGGAGTGTTTAAAAGGGTGGGGGAATGGAAGGGAGGAAGGGCTGCCAGATTTGGGGGTGCAGCCGCGAGCTGATCCCGAGATCGCAGCCAGGAGGCCTTCTTTGAGAGGAACCAATTATATTGATGTCCCCAAACGGGGTGTGTAATTGTAGGATTCGTTACCGTTTCATTAACTGCATCGCCCAGAAATGACAGCCAGGTTTTCTCCCTTAATTGCTTTCTCTGGCTTTGGGGCTCCCTTTGAAAAGGGATTTTATTCGAAACACGCTGGGGATCCGCAGAGGCTCCGGGAGCAGCAGGGAGGCGCCCCCGTGCCCAGCCTGACGGCGGGGGCTTCCCAAAGGGCAGGATAACAGAGTCGGAAGGGATCCCGGAGGTCTTCTAGCCCACCCCCCTGTTCAAGCGGTTCAGACAAGCGTCCAGTCTCTTCTTCACC